CGGTGGTAAGGGGTGGAGGGGGGGGGGGGTGCAGAGAGAATGAGAGGGCTTCTAAGAAAATACGCTGCACCCTCGTGAAACGACACATTTGAACACTTTGCTAAGCTTTTGTGCCAAGTGCCTATTCTTAGAATAAGGGGAGCCTGACGTACAGCTGTCCCCTTGATGGCGACAGGACTCACAGTGGAAGGTAATGGTAACAATTCCCCACTCACACAATTACAAACAAAAAAGGAGCAAACCTTCGGCACAATAGAGAGACAAGACTAGCAAACAGAAATCACTCATGCACAGAAATCCTCTTAGCCCCTACCTGCATCTCTGTATTATTTTAGCCATTGTGTAAAAGGAAGATAAAGGAAACATAAAATAGAAAAACAAACAGACAAACAAACAAACAAAAAAGAACAAGAATAAGAGGTACCTACTCTTCTTCGTAGTGCAGGGAAAAAGACTCAGGAAGGCAAAGTTCTACCGAATCCATGTGCGCCCGGCAACCATAATTTGTGCACCCCAGCTATAAATCAAAGTTTCCTTGTCAGAGGGACAGTGCAATTAACACAAATGTTCTCCTGGTGACAAGCCTATAGGCACAGCCAGTTGGGACCAAAAGCTCTCACACTCTCCTAATCAAGGACTTAAAGCCCCGATTGCAGCTTATTAATATGAAGTAGAGCTTTACATATGCAGTCCCTCTGGCCCACTTGGCTATTGGATTGGTGGGAGGGTAGCCAATAAGAGCAAGGGAGGGCAGGAGCTCCACACATTGTGACAGCTAGGCAGGTACAGAGAAAGGGTGGGGGTGGGGGGGAGGAAGGAACGGAGTGAGGACTGACTGAGATAGAGAGAGAGAGAGCTCTCATGAGCTAGAAATGTTTCCTTTGGGCTACAATACAAAGAGGGAATAAAAGGTTTCTCTGTTTGGGCATTAAACGTTTGTTATAACATTAAACACAACTCACCAGAGCCAAATGAAAGAAAGATTTCATGTACAGTGGCTCCCTTTTTTTTTTCCCCCCTCTTTACCAAGTCAGGGGCATTAAGTTTTTACATCGCTTCCCTGCATGTCAATTTCTCAGATTTTAGGGTTTTTTTTGTGCCAATTTGACTCCCCCCC